TTTAACCTGTGTGACCCCAGACATTTGTTTTCTATGAAGGCTCAAAACATGGTTATGTTTCCTAATTTACAAGTAACACATGTAAACCCATGTTTTGAAAGTGGGGGTGGGGAGGATCAACTGAAGGCAGCCTCTTCACCCAAGTTCCAAAGGCCAGGTGGCCCATTGTGAACCTTGTTTAACCACACAGAACACATGAATAGCTAGAACAAGGGATTTAACAGTTACCAGAATGTTTTCAGAGAGGTGACTTCAGAAGTGCCAAGCTTCAGGAAGACCCGGACAGAGAAGGGATTGGACAACTTTAGGAAAGTAGGTGCCAAACAGCCCCTTTACAGTTTACACATGCCTTGATGTCAGAAAAATAGATTTGAGTACTGGTTATGCATCAGAGATGTCACTCTGGACAAGCTCCTTATGCTCTCTGGGATTCAGCTTTCTCATCTAAAAAATGGGGATAATAGCTGGGCGTGGTGGCTCATGCCTGTAATCCCAGCACTTTGGGAGGTCAAGGTGGGCGGATCACCTGAGGTCTGGAGTTCGAGACCACCCTGGCCAACACGGCAAAACCCCATCCCTACTAAAAATACAAAAATTAGCCGGGTCGTGGTGGCTTGTGCCTGTACTCGCAGCTACTCAGGAGGCTGAGGCAGGAGAATCACTTGAACTTGGGAGGCAGAGGTTGCAGTGAGCCGAGATCACACCACTGCACTCCAGCCTGGGCAACACAGTGAGACTCTGTCTCAAATAAAAAAAAAAAGGAAAAAAGAAAAAGGGGGGATAATAATAGTGCTTACCTCAAGAGGTTGCTGTGAACACCAAAAGAAGCAATACACACCAAGTGCCTACAGATAGTAAGCACTTGGTAAAAATGTAACTGCCATTAAAAATAAATATGATGCTCACAGGGTCAGTGGAAAGTAGGAGTAGTGGGAACAGAATAGGAGGGAACAAAGCACCTCTGAGTAGACCTTTCTGTATAGCTCTGACTCTTATTATGTTTCACCCTAATAATTCACTAAAACTAGGATATGAAGGCTGAGGGTGTATTTGGAATACAAACACTAATGAACCCAACTGCATTATAAATAATGGCCACACTGAAAGGGATGAAGAAGAAAATAAGTAATTTTGGAAAACACTATTTTGACTGGATACTGTAAGGCAAACTTGTCCAACCTGCAGCCCGGGATGGCTTTAAACATGGCCCAACACAAATTAGTAAACTTTCTTAAAACATCATGAACTTTTTTTTGTGATTTTTTCTTTTTTTAGTTTATCAGCTACCGTTAGTGTTAGTGTATTTTATGTGTGGCCCAAGACAATTCTTCTTTTTCTAGTGTGGCCCAGGGAAGCCAAAAGATTGGACACCCCTGCTGTAAGGCTTCGGACAAAAAGATCTGTCCACAAATAATGAACTCTAGTTAGTCAATCTGTTACAGGCATACGGAACTACTTTAGGATACTAGGGTTAAACAAATAAGTGAATAAAGTGTACATAACAAGAGCCACATTTCCCACTGTTGAAAAAGCGAAAAAGAAGAAGAGGGGGAGGCTAGGATGAAGGCTATTAGAGCAGAAACATTAGTTATCAACTCATGTTTAATATGTATACAGATACAGAAATAGATGTAGATATGTGTGTATGTGTGGTTAGTACGCATGTTTTATTTCCTAATCCTATCCACTGGGAGGACCTACAAACAATTCACAAATTATTTGTATGGCATTCCAATAGAAATGAGCATGCCTAGCACCAGATCCTGGTTTCTAATAGCATTCTCCAATAATGGAACCAGGGCTCCTTGAAGTAATGGCTGATTCTGGGTCAGGGTAGGGAAAACACAAGATGAGCCTGTTATGTCTTGCACTGCCAGAAAATAGAAACACTCAAAAAAGGGTAGGGGCATGACAAGAGGACACAGGGGGCAACGGGAAGATGCGGGGCAAAAAGTTCCAGGCAGAGGAAGCCACATGAAAAATAATCAAACCTTTGACTTATGTTCAGAGCTCTCAGATACTGCCATAATTAAAGGGACAGAAAAAATGTTGGGAAAGGAAGTTCTACTGAAAAGCTACCAAGTTTGAATGTCACTTCACTCATTAATCATGATGAGGAAGTCCATTATGAAGTACATCCATATTGTGTAAAGAGAAAACTTGAAACTTAATTTGGCAGTGTTTAATGCTTGAAGTTGCAAATAATAATGAAAACCATTAAAACATCATCACTCTTTCAAGTGGTTTGAAGTGTCTATAAAATTCACATTTGAAAATGGCAGAACAAGCTGAGCATGGTGGCTGATGCCTATAATCCCAGCACTTTGGGAGGCCATGGCAGGAGGACTGCCTGAGTCCAAGATTTCCAAGACCAGCCTGGGAAACAGAGTGAGATTGTATCTCTAAAAAATTAAATTAAAAATTAGCTGAGAGTGGTAGCATACACCTGGCCTGAGCCCAGGGAGGCAAGAGGTTGCAGTGAGCCGAGATCATGCCATTGCACTCAGCCTGGGCAGCAGCAGAGCAAGGCACTGTCTCAAAAAAAAAAAAAAGAGTAAACACAATCCTTCATACCAGAAAGTTATTTTGTCTGAAGCTGTCCACAGGATCATAAAATAAGCCAGCAGAAAAATCTGAAGAGAATGTTGGAGAAACTCTCTAACAGTCTTTGAAAATGCTTTCTAGTGCCAGAGGAAATCAGTTTACATTCTTAGAGATCAGCTGTGACCTCGAAAAGCTGTGTTTAATGTACAAGTCATCCGGACTTATTACATTCAATGAGCTTAATGTTTTCCTCTATGTTATCAGTGTATTAATTTCTACACAAGAGCTGGCCACTATAGGTTAAGTGGCAATGAACTAAGAGGGCAGATGGTGGAATACAACTGCCTGGGTTCAAATTCCTCATCTGCTACTTACTAGCTGTGTGATCCTGGGCAAATTATGTGGCTCTCTGGACCTGCACTTCTTCATCTGTAAAGTTGGGACAATTAAAAAACCCAAACAACCTACCTTATAGGGTTATCATAAGGATTCAAAAGCGCTTAGTATCATTCCATTGCATATAGAATTCAATACATGTTAGGTATTCTTAATTTTTTTTTTTTTTTTTTTTTTTTTTTTTTTTTTTTTTTGCTTAACCTGAAAAATGTTTTGCTTCTTTCTAGGTAATACAGACATTATAATTTTCAAGTATTTTAATTGCTTTTTAACTTCCTATCATTCTATCATTTATCCAACAAATATTTATTGAGCACTACAATTTTTCAGGCACTCTTGTAGGTGCTGGGGATGTAGGAGTGACTAGGACTGACAAGGTCCTGTACTCATGGAGCTGACAGCCTACTAAGGGAGACAGACAGTAAGTAAGAAAGGAAAAGATCAACTTAGTAGATGCTTCTAAGGGAACAGCTCTGCCATGAATGTCTCCACACAGGCCACATAGACAAGGTCAATAGCAGTCTGACACATCTTGGAGGAATGCCATGTGATCCTCCCAGGAACACTGTAACATAACCAGTCTTGGGAAGAAGCTGTCCCAAGGCCATTTGTCACCCACCTCCCTATGTTGTGGGAGCTGCCATAAGGCAGTTTCTCATCTGCCTCCCTGGTTCTGATAAGACATGGGACTTTCAACATTGCCTCCTCACGTAGTGGAGAGCTGCGAGGTTATAAAATCATTTAGCTGGAGTCTGGAGCTAACTCCTCCAGGACATAGCAACCCACCACTTGTGTCATTCAAGTAAATTATATAACATGTTATTAGGTTATCTGACCGGCAAACTGCCTATCACCGGCCATTTTTTACCTACAAAAATGGTAATTTCATATGGTTCAACTTACTAGAAGGTGGTAATAAGTGCAACTGAAAATAAAAGAGTAAAGAGGCTTGGCAGTGGGAAGCTGGATGCAGTATTCAAGAGGGTAGCCAAGTGGACCTCAGCAGGCTGACATTTTAGGGGAAGAAGGGGATTCAGGAGTTCTGGATATTGCACTCACACATGGTAACATCTACCTCAACCTTACATGGGTATGAAGATCAAATGAGATAACAGAAGCAAAAATATTTTGTAAACTAAGAAGTTCTACGACTACAGAAAATTATTTAAAAGTATTAGTTTGAGTCTCCTACTTTGTTGCTGGGCATTACAGCAAACTTTTTTTTTGAGACAGGGTCTCACTCTGTCGCCCAGGCTGGAGTGTAGGGGCATTGTCAAGGCTCACTGCAGCCTTGACCTCCCAAGCTCAAGCAATCCTCCCACCTCAGCCTCCCAAGTAGCTGGGACTACAGTTGTGTGCCACCATACCCAGTTTTTTTTTTTTTTTTAATTGTAGAGATGGCATTTTGCCATGTTGCCCAGGCTGGTCTTGAACTCCTGAGCTCAAGTGATCCCCCACCCTGGGCTCCCAAAAGTGCTGGGACTATAGGCATGAGCCACTGTGCCCGGCCTACAGCAAACTTTTTAAGGAACACGTGTAAGCTAGATGGCTCATAAGGTTGCTAGTTCATACCTCACATGGAGCAGATAAGCAATTAAGAGTTTTGGCTTAAAACTTTTCTCCTGCTCCCAGAAAACAAAAGGTGTTGTTGTCATTGTTCTTGGTCAATAAAGCACTATCTACACAAAGAAGGTGATAGGACATATCTGAGAACAATCTGTTGAGATATAGCTGACATTACAATCTGCAAAACTGAACAGAATTCCAAAACAAAGCCATGTTATTTTAGCATAGTAAAATGTAATATAAAGTGTACCACGTGTCTGAAATTTAATGTCTCCGAAGTAGCTAGGAATTTTTGTAGCTCCACCAACCAATTCTACTACATAATCATTAAGATTACAATTTAGCTACTAAAACTTAACAAACAAGGAAAATGGAACCAACAGAAAACTATACTAGGTTAATTTGTAGAGAAATGATAACTATGCATAGCTTTTTTTTTTTAAAGAGACAGACCTTATTTTAAGGATTTTTAAATTGAAGAATCCATAAAGCAGTAAATTTTTGGGAATTTATTGGTTTGCATTTAAAAGGAACTGCTGACAAAGATTCACTGGTAATAATCTGAACAAGTTGGAAAATACAGTCAACACTACTGAAACACTACTAAAATAATTCCAGGACACAACAAAACTTCTTAGATGCTGTCTTTGATGTGAAAATTGACTGCTTCTTACTTTTCTAAACACATGGTGGTATAATTAACAATATTCAATCACTTCTGTTCTTTCCTGCATATATAAAAATTAAAATACCAATTAAAAAACTAATATATCCTCTCTTTATTTCTTACAGATACGAGTTCAATGTTTCACTCAATAGTGGTGTGGTTTAAGAGAATTTTTTCATTTACAAGTTAAACAACAATCCACCCAAAGGGAACTGATAGTCTATAGGCTCATAGTGCAAATAAACAGTTTAGGAATGCAGCAACTGACATTTCTAAAGTACAAAACAGATAAAATTCTTAGAAGATACATGCAAAAAGCTCTACTAAGCAGATGGCCACAGAACTAGAACATTGATAATTTTACTGGCGATGTCAATAGGACTCCAGATGTTTCCAAACTCAACTTGAACTCTCATCTTAGGCTTTGTATTTTGCTTTTCCAGTTTCACTAATGACACAAACATGCTATAAAAAAAATCCAGAAATTCACATTTAAAAAGTATATTCTGAAATGAAAGGCAAGAACAGCATTTTACATATAAGAACACTATTAGTTGGCAGGGTTCTTACTAAACAGAGATAGTACTACTATATTTTAGACCAGTAACTTTTGGGGAGTGTATCTTTTGAAAACAAAGCAGTAATCTATCCCATTAATTTGCTTCCTGTCTTTTTTTTTTTTTAATTTTTTGAGACGGAGTCTTGCTCTGTCGCCCAGACTGGAGTGCAGTGGCACGATCTCGGCTCACTGCAAGCTCTGCCTTCTGGGTTCACGCCATTCTCTTGCCTCAGTCTCCCGAGTAGCTGAGACTACAGGCACCCGCCACCATGCCCGGGTAATTTTTTGTATTTTTTGGTAGAGACAGGGTTTCACCATGTTAGCCAGAATGGTCTTGATCTCCTGACCTCGTGATCCGCCCGCCTCGGCCGCCCAAAGTGCTGGGATTATAGGCATGAGCCACCACGCCCAGTCTGTTTCTTGTCTTAACACGTAGTTTTTTGTTTTTTTGTTTTGGTTTGGTTTTTTGAGACAGAGTCTTGCTCTGTCACCCAGGCTGGAGTGCAGTGGTGTGATCTTGGCTCACCTGTAGCCTCCACCTCCCGGTTTCCAGTGATTCTCCTGCCTCAGCTTCCCAGGTAGCTGGGATTGTAGGCACGCACCACTACACCCAGCTAATTTTTGTATTTTTAGTAAAGGCGGGGTTTCACCATGTTTGCCAGGCTGGTTTCAAACTCCTGACCTCCTGTGATCCGCCCGCCTTGGCCTCTCAAAGTGCTAGGATTACAGGTGTGAGCTACCGCAACCAGCCTCAATATGTAGTTTTGAAAGACAAATCAAGTAGGGAATTTTAAGCATTATCAAAGTGGGAGGCCAGGGTAAGTGGCAAAAAAAGATGGAGTAAAAAACCTGCTTTAGGTAGTGTGCTGTTGCAGTCTTCCTAAATCTTCCTCAACCATGTTCATGAACACATCCATGGGACTCCTGCCTCCAGAGTAAGAGGCAGGTATCCAAAGGACAGTGAATTAAAAGACTAAACTCGATCATTTATTTCTTACTTATGACCACATTTATCATCTGAAATAATAATGCAACAGTTATTATATATTAAAGCTGTTCAACTATTTCAGCCAACAAGAAGTGTCACCCTAGCCTGGCCAGGTTCCAGTTCTAAGGACGTCTGTACTAGACTACAGCTTTATGTGACTAATGGGAACCATCAGTCTGTTATTATGAGGTGCTGGAAGGAGAAAACAATTCTCTTTCCTAAATTTTTACGTGGGTTTTGAAAAATGAGTGAGAAAAAGAAGCAATTACTTACATTCAAATCCCTGAAGTATTCATTATAGTCAAGGGCATATCCTACAACAAACTTGTCTGGAATTTCAAATCCAACAACTAAAAAGAAACATAATTCATCATTTAGATACAGAAAACACCACTTTTAAATCTAATACTGGCAAATGTGCCTCTCTACAAATATTCTCTAAGCAATTATAAGCCATTTCACATAAAACTCTTTTAGGTTAAAGATGGTTAAATGATTGACAAAAAAAGTAATTCACTTACAGTCTGGCTTATATCCAACACTTCGTGGAGTCCTTTTCACCAGCAAGCTGTTAATTACAAAATGTGACATATAACATACAGAGAGACTACAGGGCATTACAAAAGAAAAGACTAATGTTTCTAAACACTGTTTCATTTCATCCGTGCTGAGTGTACCATGGTCACTTTTAACACACTCAAGGAGAGACTATGAAATGGAGAGCTAAATTATGGGAATTACTAGGAAGGGACAGCAATGAGTTGGCACTACAGACAAGGCCCTAGGTTGATCACCTGGAACCTGAAGGACAGTTCTGAGACCTGCACCCTGACTACCCATGTGTCCACTGAAGGGGAGCTAATAAGGAGGATGAATGGGTATCGAGTGTCAAAGAGCAAAGATGAAAATATAACGGCTCTCAGTCCAAAAACCTTGGAGATACAATCCCTAAACTGTAAAAGGGTGTGGGAGAGGTGAGCATCACCTTTTATCACAACATTCTTTTCTTTTCTTTTTTTCCAGACGGAGTCTTGCTCTGTCACCCAGGCTGGAGTGCAGTGGCGCAATCTCCACTCACTGTAAGCTCTGCCTCCTGGGTTCATGCCATTCTCCTGCCTCAGCCTCCCGAGCAGCTGGGACTACAGGCGCCCGCCACCACGCCTAATTTTTTTTTGTATTTTTAGTAGAGACGAGGTTTCACTGTGTTAGCCAGGATGGTCTCCATCTCCTGACCTTGTGATCCACCCACCTCAGCCTCCCAAAAAGCTGGGTTTACAGACGTGAGCCACTGCGCCCAGCCACAACATTCTTTTCTTTTCTTTTTTGAGATGGAGTTGGCTAGAGTGCAATGGCTCGCCCAGCTCACTGCAACCTCCACCTCCCGGGTTCAAGTGATTCTCCTGCTTCAGCCTCCCGAGTAGCTGGGATTACAGGCATGCGCCACCACTAATTTTGTATTCTTTTAGTAGAGATGGGGTTTCTCCATGTTGGTCAGGTTGGTCTCGAACTCCCAACATCAGGTGATCTATCCACCTCAGCCTCCCAAAGTGCTGGGATTACAGGCGTGAGCCACCATGCCTAGCCTCACAACATTCTTTTTTTAAAAGAGATGAGTCTCGCTCTGTGGCCCAGGCTACAGTGCAGTGGTATAATCACAGTTCACTGCAGCCTTCACTTCTTGGGCTCTAGCGATCCACCTCAGCCTTCCGAGTAGCTGGGACTACAGATGTGTACCACTTCACCCTGGCTGCATCACAACTTTTTAATAACTGGCTTACAAAGAGGAACTTTAGGCTAAAACAACTAGTGTGCCAAAAGAACCAGTATTTATTTTTGAGAGCAAAAGCTGGAGGTGGTATAAGTCAACTCTACCAAAAGCTAATTTTATAACCCAAATGCTGCCTGTAGAAAAATATTCAGCCATTAAAAAAAGCTATAGAAGCTGCTTTGAAAGCCTTTATAGATGTTGAAGGCAGTCTCAAGAAAACTTATGCTTTCCTACATATATACAAGATATATACAAGGCAGTCTCAAGAAAACTTATGCTTTCCCACATATATACAAGATATATACAAGGCCGTCTCAAGAAAACTTATACCTTTCTAGATAAATACATATGTTTAAAGAGCTGGAAAGGGCCCAAAGTGATCTCAACCTGGACTGCACATCAGAATCACCTGGCAGCTTTAAAGAACCAAAACTCAGCTACTCAGGCCACAGCCCTGACCAATTACATCAGAATTGCTGGAGGTGAGACACAGGCATAGGTTGTCCTGGGTTTTTTTTTAACTCTCAGGTGATTCCAATGTGCAGCCTAAGTAGATAACCACTAACCTAAGCCGGAGACTCCAAGGGATATCATCTAATCATGCCCCTCATGACTCTTCCAATAAATGGATAGAGGAGACACTTCAATTCCATTTCCATTTAAAAAGAACATAACAAGCCAATCACAGCAAAAACCCTTCCCTCTACCTGAACTCAGGAATGCTCCAGAAAAGGTATCACTAAACTCAGTGCAATCTGTATTAGGAGTTCAGGAGAACTCAGCACTTCATATGCCTACAGATCTGAATGTTTAATAAAGCTCCATCTCTAAGGCATGACTAGAGTTGCATCTGAAGCATTTTCCATACTGTAAATGGGTAACCGCTCTTAAGAAGATATATGTAAATGGCTAATAAGCAGATGAAAACATGTTCAACATCATTACCATCAGAGAAACACAAATCAAAACCACAATGAGATACCACATCACAGCCACTAGGATGGCTATAATAAAAAGGACAGTAACAAGTGTTGTCAAGGATATGGAGATATTGGAACCCTCATATGTTACTGGTGTAAAATAGTACATATACCTTGTTAAACAGTCTGGCAATTCATCAAAATGTTAAACATAGAATTACCATATGACCTAGCAATTATATACTCAAGAGACCTAAAAACAGGTATTCAAACTTGTACACAAACATTCAAATCAACATTATTCATAAAAGTGAACAGGTAGAAACCCAAATGTTCACCAACAGATGGATAAACAAAATGTGATATATTTGTACAATGAAATATTATTCAGCCAAAACAAGGGATGAAGTACTGATACATGCCCCAACCTGGATGAACCTTGAAAACACTACGCTAAGTGAAAGAAGACAGGATATTGCAAGAGTCCATTTATATGGAATGTCCATAATACACAAATCTGTACAGACTTTCTGTAGAAAGTAGATTAGTAGTTACCAGGGGCTGGGAGAAGGGAGAATGACTGCTAATGGGTACAGGGTTTCCTTGGGTTCTAAAACGAAATAGGGGTAGCAGATGCACAACTCTGAATATATCAAAAACCACTGGATTGTACAACTTTAAAAGAATGAACTTTATGGCATGTGACTCAGAGCTCCATAAAAAAGAGTATGTTTACAGTTCCAGAACCAGCTACCTATATAATATGCGAAAAATCTTACTACTTCCCTACATTCTAAAATGCACGATTAAGCAGCTGCTCACTTCAATGAGATGAATCACATTATAACCAACAGTGAAACAGTGCTTTGCAGTTAAAAAGACTTTCAAATACATTATCTCCTTGACTCACATAGTTTCCCTGAGTAAAAGATGTTAATAATCATTCCCCTTTAAAGATGAGTAAATACATTCAGAGAGATTAAATATGGAATAGTTGCTCAGATTAAGTGGTAGTGAAATGCCAGACTAAACTCCCAAGTCCATGTCTTTCTCACTTTACTGCTCTGCCTACAACATGAAAACTGGAACTGGGTGAGAAGAACCTTAGAAGTCATCTAGGCCATGCATTCTTTTTTTTTTTTTTTTTGAGATAGGGTCTCACTCTGTCACCCAGGCTAGAGTGCAGTGGTGTGATCACAGTAGGCCACTTATTCTCAACAGAGGCGATATCACCTCCAAGGAAGCCAAAACTAATTCTCAGCAGGGAGAGTGGAAATATTAGACATTACAAGATTTGTGACCCTCCAAAACAACCCTACCTGACAATCTTATTCCTTAGTGTTTAATTTCTGAGTATCAGATAAGCAGCACTGACGTGGAGTTCATGGAAGATACATGAAATGTATGCAAGATCAGTGCTACAAAACTATGGTGAATAGATGACTTGGGTCAAGAAATGACCCAGGTATTCTTTGAGCATGTCCTACCTGTGGCAACACAAAATCTCTCTCTCACGAACCAGTCTATCTCAATTCCACAGCATATACCAGGAAAGAACAACAAAAGAATACCCGGAGGATTGAAGTCTATGCCACAGTAGGTTGACATTTAAAACCCTAAAGAGCACGTACAAAAACAAGCAAGTGCATTGATTAATTTCTATTAGGTTGGTGCAAAAGTGATTGTGGTTTTTGCCATTTCATAGGATACTACTCAGTGTCCTATAACGTATCACTTATATACTCTCATAGTACCTGTCCCAAATCTATTTAAAAGAAAAACTCACTGATAAACACTTGGACTGGATATTAGAAAAGCCCATACAGTCAAACTGCTGACATATGACTCACTAGAAGGCTTACTCTGATTCAAAGATGCTCGACAGATAGTTATTTTTTAAAAGGAGTTTATAAAAACCTGTTAATCACTTAGGAAAAAAACAGAAGTTAGATCATTACCTGACCCCTACATAAAAACTGCAGATTGATCAGAGACTTAATTTTTTTTAATGAAATTGTAAAAGGAAAAGAAAAACATATTCTTAAATGTTTGTTTGATGTCACTCTATTAAAAATTTAAGGTAGCAAAAGCATAAACTGTGAGCCAGGTTCCCTGGGTTCAAATCTCATCTCTATAGCTGACTAGCTCCGTACCTTTGGGCAATTCCCTATGCCTCAGTATCCTTATCTGAAAAGTGGGAATAACAATGCCACCCCAGAGTGTTGAGGGATGAAACTAAAATGAGAAACAAACACAGGTAGAACTATAAAAGCAAAAGTCAAACAGCATAGGTAAGGTGAGGAGGTGAGCCTGACTTAATAAAAAAGGAAGCGGGCATTATAAAACTTCACTACAGACACAAAGAAGATGTAGCATACATCACTCAATTCCAGGAGGTCCAGATCTTCAGGGCCCACCCCTTCCTATCACTTCCTCACCCCCTGTGGAATCCTTATTCTTAATTTTGTAAGGGGGCTCAAAATCCTCTGCCATGCTACTCAGGACAAACTGATATAATTAGCATGCTGAAAAACCAAATGTTAATATTAGGCAAGGAAGTGACTGTAACTATGAGCTTTATTGACACATGACAAAATTATTTAAAAGGATTATATCTTAAGTCTTATATGAGAGTACATTACTTCTTAAAGATAAAATGACAGTTGAAAACATTTATCCTTAAAAAGAAGCAATCACTTAATCCCCCTTCAAATGAGGAAAATATTCTATGTCAAAATGTCATACATACCTTGCGACCTTGACCATCTTTGGATTATACTGCCTGACCAAGGAAAGCAAAGTCTGCATCGTTTTGCCAGTGTCAATTATATCCTTTCAAAAAAGAAGACATTGCATAGCTTTAAATTCAGAGTCACTATATAAACATAAAGTACCAAAACCCCCATGTATAACTGTAATACTGCCATTCTTTTCAGTGCAGTAATTGTCACCAAAATTCACACGGAGATATTCTGGAATCTATAAATCATCTGGCCCTCAGCAAGCAGTAAGAATGCCAGCCCCCAGGACTGGATTTTGTAGGCACAGGGTCAATTACAGCAAATTTAAATATATACATGCACATTTTATTAGGGAGTTATGATGTTGTCCTTCATTATAAAAAGTATTTTAGAATTTTTCTCATAAATTCAAGATACAGACTCTCTCCTCCCAACTCTCCAATATAGGTGGCTAACAGACTACACTTTAAGAAACACTGCTTTATACCATTTTTAAAGGCACCCAAATTAATAAGGCTATAAAATGACTTTACATAAAAGTGAATCCCAGCTATTTAGTCAAAAGTAGGACTCTAAACAAACTCATCTTTGTTACGGAAAATATTTTTTAAACCATAATCCTAATGCTTTTCAATAAAAATACTCTTTAAAAATGGAATAAAGCAGTGTAAGCCATCAGAAACATCATGGCTGGAGACTTGTGAAAAATGTAGATTTCTGGGCTGTGGTAGGCAGAATTCTGACGGCTCTCAAAATTCCTGCCTCCTTTAGGGATAAAAGACTTTAAGACTTTTTAAGAAAAAAGAAAAAGAAAAAGAAAAAAAAAAATCCTGTCTCTTGGTGTACACACCTGGAAGAGTTCCCTCCCCTTGAATGTGACCAGGATCTGTGAAACTAACGGGATAGCCACTCCTGTGATTAGGTTATGTGGCAGACTAGAGCAAGATTCTCCTGCTGGTTTTGAAGAAGTCAGCTGCCATGTTGTGAGAATGTAATGGGCTAGGGCATGAGCCTTTAAATAGCTGACAGCAACCCCTGGCCAGCAGCCAGTGAGAAAACGGGCCCTCAATCCTACAATCACAAGGAACTAAATTCTGCCAACAACCTGAAGGAACTTCGAAGAGGATTGTGAGTCCCTTGATTCAGCTTGATGAGCCCCTGAGCAGAGGATACAGTTAACTTGTACTAGGGAAGTATAAAAAACATGCATGGGAATGATATATATCAACTTTAAGGATAATTGTCATACTTCTGGGAATGAAGGGAAAAAATCGGGCTTTAGTTGTATTATGACCTTTCATTTCTTTAAAACAATAAGATCAGAAGCAAATATGGCAAAATGTTAATACTTTGTGGTGGGTACATAGGTATTGAGCATACCCTCTTTTCTGAGTTCAAAATATTGTATAATTAAAATTAAATGCAGGCCAGGTGCAGTGGCTCATGTCTATAATTATTCCGAGCACTTTGGGAGGCCGAGGTAGGAGGATGGCTTGAGGCTAGACCAGCCTGGCCAATATGGCAAAACCCCGTCTCTACTAAAAAAAAAAAAAGTATATATATATATATATATATATATATATACACACACACACACACACACACACATATATATATAGACACACACACACACACACACACACACACACACAATTAGCCAGGCATGGCAGTGCAGACCTGTAGTCCCAGCTACTTGGGAGGCTAAGGCATGAGAATTGCTTGAACCTGGGAGGCAGAGGTTACAGTGAGCTGAGATCATACCACTGCACTCCAGCCTGGTAACAGAGTGAGACTCTGTCTTTAAAAAAAAAAAAAAAAAATTAAATGCAAAAGGTCCAAGTGAATTGAGGAGGAAAGAGGTATCAAGGAAGGTTTTGTGGAGGTGACGTTTGAGCTGGGTCTTAAATGACTAAAACATGGGATAAGAAGAGAGGGAATAAGGACATTTCAGGTACAAGAAATAAGGAGCAAACAGTGGAAACAACCTAACGTCTGTCAGTCAACCAATGAATGGATAACAAAAATGTAATTCAGATGGCATCCAACTTATGATGGTTCGACATGAGATTTTTTTGACTTTAGGATAGATTTATCAAGGTAGTAAATCCATTTTCAACTTATGATGTTTTCAACTTCAGATGGGTTTATCAGGACACAGTTGAGGAACACCTGTCTATCCATAAAATTTGTCAGTAAAAAGGAATGAGTGCAGATATACTCCACAATGTGAATGAACCTTGAAAACATTAAGCTAAGTGAGAGAAGCCAGATACAAAAGGCCACATATCATATGATTCTATTTATACAAAATGTCCAGAATAGGCAAATCTTATAGATAGCAAGTAGGTAGATGATCAGTTTGCTAGGTGCTGGGGGAAGGGAAAATGGGGAGTGATGGCTAAGGGGATTGGGTTTCTTTGTGGGGCAATGAAAATGTTTTAAAATTGAATGTGATAATGATTGCACAATGCTGAGAATATAATAAAAAATTTTGAATTGGCCAGGCGTGGTGACTCATGCCTGTAATCCCAGCACTTTGGGAGGCTGAGGCGGGTGGACCACGAGGTCAGGAGATCAAGACCATCCTGGCAAATAGTGAAATCCCGTCTCTACTAAAAATACAAAGAATTAGCCGGGCGTGGTGGCAGGCACCTGTAGTTCCAGCTACTCAGGAGGCTGAGGCAGGAGAATGGCGTGAACCCAGGAGGCAGAGCCTGCAGTGAGCTGAGATCACGCCACTGCACTCCAGCCTGGGCGACAGAGCGAGACTCCGTTTCAACAACAACAAAAAAAATGGAATTGTACACTTTAAATGGGTGAATGGTATGATATGTGAGTTATATCTCAATAAAGCTATTATTTTAAGAAAAGAAATAAGGAGCAAACAACAGGGGCAGAAAAGTAAAGGTACAAGCTCTGGGAAACAGTAAAAAGTATAGAGAAAATGAAAGGAAGCTGGAAAATAAGGTTGGCAATGTATATTGGGGTCACACTGAAAAACTCTAAAGAATGTAGCCTAAAGACTAAAGAATGGGAGAATGGGGTCTGAGTAGGAGACAGGATCACAAGCTGTGCTTTAGATGTTTGTAGGATTCAGTAAGATAGAAAGGTTTCAATAGATGACCACAGACAAAAATATAGATATATTTATATCTACATAGATGTATATATATCTATATCTATATCTATATCTATCTATCTATATATATGTATAGAGAGAGAGAGAGAAAGAGGCTGTTAGACAGTGATAAGTGATCAGGAAAATAAAAGTATTGAGGAGAAATAGGAAGTTGACAGCATGAAAAAGTGAGATTTTAGATAGGATGGCCAGAGAAGGCCTAAATGAGAAAATGACTTATGAGTAAAAACAAGGGCCCCTAAACCTTAGCATGCATCAGAATCACTCAAAGACTTGTTAAAGCATAGCTTGCTTGGCCTCATCACAGATATTTTGATTAGGTAGGTTCTTGTCTGATATTAATACTTTTGGTCTAGGGAACCACATTTTGAGAACCACTGAGCTAAAGGAAGTAAAGGTTTCCCTTAGCTTACTAGCGGGTAACCCTAGGAAACTGCTTAGCCTCTCCGTGCTAAGATACAAAATACTTTAGGACATAATGACAAATGGAAAATAGTCTATAAATTATAAATATTACTTTTTATGTACCAAATATTACATAAGACAAAATCTAAGCAAGATATATATATATACATAAAATATAAGATATATATGTATATATTATATATAGATAAATAGAGAGAGAGAGTTATGTTTAGAAAGAAAATATTTCAAGCTAAAAAAAGAGAGGTAGGAAGTATACCATTCCATTACTGGTAAAAACAAATTACTAAGTAGTCTTTACAAAAAACCAGTCTCACTCCTTTAGAACACAAGTCCACCATTAAAACTGATGCAGAGGAATTTCTTTCCCTGGCTTACCTTTAGGATGGTGCATACTAAATTAGAAAAATCATAAATGTTATATTAAAAGTAAATGTGAACTTACTTCCACAATCAAGACATTCTAGAAGAAAAAGAAATGAAAATCAGTACAATGAATAAGACGGTATTTCCAATTATAAGTCAAATCACATCATAACAACCCTAAGGAATTATTCACACTCTTGTTTTTAGATACTTTATTACATCAAACTCTCCTTTAAACAAGTGGGCCATCTGCTGGGATTTGGAAGCCTGTAATACTGAAATTTTCATCGTAATGGAAATTTTAAAAACAGAATTTGACCCATTTGTTTTTAAAACACTTTCATTACTTAACAAGAGGTCTAATCTTGGGCAAGTCTTGAAATTTCTCTGGCCTCAGTTTCCCATGTGTTAAATGAGAAACTTGAACTAGTTGGTTTCTTATAGTTTCCTGACTCTAACATTCTAAGAATTATATTTGTACAATAACTCAAAAACCATATGGACTCCAATTCAAAATATATTTTCTCATTAGGCTAAAATTGATCTGCATTTTCTGGATGTGTCCATATTCTTGGACTACACTAAAAAATGATACCAATGCTTCCTCTCACCATAAACCCTCACTTCGCTTTCTACATTTAAGAATTTTATAGCTAGAAGAGTCCTTAAGAGAAAATACCATCTAATAATTACCCCTCAAAATCAGGAAAGTCCTATCTGTTCTTATGCTAGTTATAAGAATGAGGCAGCATTTTGGTTATAAACATTGCCACAAGAAGATTCATGATGTATTGTTTATCTGTAGCTCTCACTATACTCTGTCATATAACTATATAAAGATTTTAATGTTCTATATAGTCTTCTAAGATAGTGTTTACCAGAGTAGGGCATAAAAGAGTCACTGGTTTGCAAGAAAGATTAGAACTTTTTAATTTTTTACCTCACCTTGTTTAATCTATATTTTTGTATGTATTTTGTAACATATATAATATTATTACCATAAATCATATATAATTTAAAATGCATATATTAGGGGTAAATGCTCAGAAAACTTTTTATAAATTGGGCATGCAAATACAAGTTTGAAGACTCACTGTTCTAGGTATTAAAAGTAAAGTTATAACCAAGTAAAGCTTCTACCTTTTCCTGTCTCAAAGCAGTTTATTGTTGGAGGTAAGATCTCTAAGAAGCCTAAACAGGTCCAAGTACAGAATGAAGTAAGGCTAGCCCATAATTTATGGCAAGCAATTCATACTACTTCTCTCATGCTGAGCTATCCTCAGTGAAGCAGCTACTGCAGACAACTGCAGCCCATTGGTAGCCTATTTTACAGGCAGGAAAAAATTACTTTTTATTCAAAGTGGAACTCAGGATATGGTGAGAAAATGAATACAAAAAATAGGGTCAATCCAAAGGCACACAGCAAATGAGTAACACAATTATGTTTTTTTCTCATTTGTACGAGATCCCAGTAAATTCTAAGTAAATTGCAAATTTAATAATACACTAAAAAAAGCCATGTAATTGTTCAAATGAATCCCAGCATGGTACAAGGATTACAGACACTAGAGTCTAAAAAATAAAAGAATGCTATTATTGAGAGTTTTTGAATTATATCAAGTAGTTACATCTCTACTTAATAAATGAGAAAAATGAGGAAAGAGGCCATTTGATAAAATGAAAATAGCCAAGAAGTGGTATTAGAGACTTGAATACAGGTATTCAGGGTCCAAAGTTCATCTGCTCAAGTACTAACTGGGGAAAAAAAGGAAAAATATTTATATACATATGTATCTGTGCACAAAAAATGCCCCCAAAAGACAAAATGAGGCCAGGCAGGGTGTTTCACTCCTGTAATCACAGTACTTTGGGAGGGTGAGGCAGGCAGATACCTGAGATTAGCAGTTGGAGACCAGCCTGGTCAACATGGTGAAAACCTGTCTCTACTAAAGATACAAAAATTAGCCGCACATGGTGGCGTGTGCCTGTAATCCCAGCTACTTGGGAGTCTGAGGCAGGAGAATCACTTGAACTGGGAAGGGGAGGTTGCAGTGAGCCAATATTGTACCACTGCACTCCAGCCTGGGCAGCAGAGCGAGACTCCATCACAAAAATAAATAAATAAAAAAAATAAAATAAAATAAAATAAAATGAAACAGAAAGTTCAAATAATCCCATAATCTTACCACCAAGAAATAACTTTCACTCAATTTATACTTATTGATTTTTCCATAATAAATGTACTTTACTGTGACTATCATGAAAATAAAGTTATTTTAGAAACAGAGAACTGTTTCAGATCAGATCTATGTAGTAGAACAGAGCCATTAGGTGGGAAAGATAAGATCAAGCTAAATCACAGAAGGCCTAAAAGGCTAGGTCTATTCCAGCACTAAAAACTGATTAGACAAGTAATGGCTTCAACAGCTTCTAAATATGGACAAAGCATGCTGAAAGGGAAGGACAGGTCTAGCAGTGGTATATGAAATGAACAGGAGGGGCAAAGCTAATTTCTCCTCTGAAGCTTTCCAAATATGCTGAGGAGGACATTAGTTTGACATGACCCTGATATGGGACAAGAGAATTTCACACAAGTTTTACATGTTAAAGTTTTCTTATAGATACTCATTCATGTAAGCAATGAACACTAAAATCTAAAGAAAGAAAAGAGCTTTAGAGTCAGGTCTGCATTCAAATTCAAGCTCTACCACTTACTGGTTCTGTGACTTTGGGCATGTCTTTTAACCTTACTGAGCCTTAATTTCCTGATCTGTAAAATGGGGATATCGTCTCCCTCACAGGATTGTTGTGAAACTTTTATGAGATTAATGCCTTTATATTTGGCACAGTGTAAGTAAACAATAACTGGCAGCTTCAAAAAAAAAAAGCAGTAGCATTCCATCATTATTGGTTACTCTCAAAAACTTTTTCAATGTACTAGAAGATAAATATTCAAATATCTTAATATCTCCATTATTTTCAGGTAAACAGCATGCTCCTGAACAACCAATGGGTCATCAAAGAATTCAAAAGGGAAATCTAAAAACATCTTGAGATAAACTACATGGAAGCACAATATACCAAAACCAATGGTCCACACCAGGAGGATTTTAATGTACTAAGATAACTCTTTGAGATTTCTTAAAATAATAGTATGTCTGAATTTATTGAGTGCATTTATTTACCAGAAACTGTTGTAAGAGCTCTACTTGCATTATAGCACTTAATTCTCTTAACTCTATGGCTGCCATTATCAACCTCACCCTAATCACATATGGGACAAAAAGAGGTTAAGTAACTTGCCCAAGGTCACAGTTAGGAAGTACTAAGCCAGGCTTTCAATCAGTTGTCAGGCTCCGGAACTCACACTTTCAGCCACTACATGATACTGCTTTGCTATCTTTTAGGAAACTATGTTAGTCTATCTCAGGAAGACTCACATAGTTTTTTTCTTTTTTTTTTTTAAAAAGGCTGTCTTTTCCCCCATCAATGTTTTTTGAAGGATCCCAAATTAGAGTCCCACAGAGGCAGACAGTAGTACTTGACAATAGGGACGTTTAAGGTTAATGTTGGATTCTACTGTCTTTTTGCTACATGACCTAGGGAAAGATAATTAACCTAGATTGCTTCCAAGGGTTAAATAACCCATTTAGTTATACTATGTAAACTATCTCTTAGTGATTGAAAGCACACTGTTACTAATTGACTCTTGGTATGAAGTGCTTTTTTTTCTTTCCCTTCAAGATACATACCTTTCCAGTTAAAGTTGAGAGATCATCTCCTCCGATTACTTTTATGTCCCCTGTTGACTGGTCATTCTAGTAAAAAAAACAAAACAAAAAAAAACAACTATATATATATATACACACACACACACACACACACACACACGTATACGTATATCCTTATGTACACACACAAACTTCAAATTAAATGAGAACTAGAAGATTTGAGAAGTTAGCTATCTAATGTTCATAGCATTATGATATTCTAAATGACATGAATTATAAGAATTAGGTTTCCTGAAATGAATGACTAGAAAACTTTCAAGAGAGATTAGTAAAAATTAAAAAGTCCTAATTGGCCATTACTGATTTGATGTTTTTAAGAGTCCTAAAAAATAGGTTACATTCATTTTTAAGTGGGCAGTATTATAACAGCCACCCATCTTCAATCACAGTGATTTCTGAATTGTGAGGGAAGTTATTAGCATGACAGGTGTCTGGTTCTGGCCCTGTACGATTCCCATGAGTCAAGCAAATTGTAAGGGCTGGTCTATATCACACCCAACCCCAAGGTATGTCCCTCAAAAGTCTAGCCCAGGCCCAGTCATTTTCAGCATTGTCTGGGAAACCAGGTCTGATTAGTAGTCCTTTAAGGAATACCTTAGGCTCCCATTTTCCTGCTACCACAGAATCCAATAAAACCCTTACAGGAGATTCAATGGGAAATGCTCAACACCCACTGCAGTTGGTGGTGACAATGACCATAATTTGGCTGTGCTGGATTCAGGACAGAAAATTTGGGTGAAAGAGCAGGTGAACAAAAGAGCTTCGACTTGCCCTTGCAGAGAGCAAGCCATACCATACTATAAAGCCACAGCAATTACAACGGTGCAGTACCAGCACAGTAAATGAACAAACTAGAGCCCAGAAACAGACCCAGAAATATATGAGGATTTAGTATACAATAAAGATGGTATTTCGAGTCAGTAGGGAAAAGATGAATTATTCAATAAATGATGTTTGGTCAACTAGTTACCCATTTGGGAAAAAATAAAAGTATGGTCCCTACCTCACAGCATACACAAAAATAAATTCCAGATGGATTAAAATCTAAATGTAAAAAATAAAGCCATAAGTGGACTGGAAGAAAATATAGAAGAATTTTTTTTAACATCCATAGAAAGGGTAAAAACCCAGGCATGACATGAATCAAAACTGAAAAAGTTCTGTAACGAATACCCCCTTTTATATATTGGGCTCCAACAATAAGAACCCATAGGAAAATGGAGAATGAACACAAATAGACAAGTTATAGAAGAGAAGGCCATAAGGTATAAAATTATATCTATCTGAGAAACAAACACTAAAACAATGAGATTCTACTGTTCACCCACCCGTACTGGCAAAACTTAAGCCTGATAATATGCTGAGGGGAAATAAGCACTCTTGTTGGTGAGAGTATTAATTGGCATAGCCTCTTTTGTTAAAATTGCAATACGCATGTCACTTAACCCAGTAATCCCACTTCTGGGAATCAATGCTACAAAAACACTGACAAGTATACAAAGATACATTAAAGAGTGTTCACTGGGCCAGGTGCAGTGGCTTCATGCCTGTAATCCCAGCACTTGGGGAGGTGGAGGCGAGAGGATCGTTTGACCCCAGGAATTCAAGGCCAGACTGATAAACACAGCAAGACCCTGTCTTTCTTTTTATTATTATTATGAAAAAAAAAATGTTCACTGTACCAGTTGTTCACAAAAACGAACATGTCCATTAACAGGGAACCATTTAAATTAATCAAGTTCATCTACACAATGTAATACCATGCAACTATTAAAAAGCACCTGGTAATCCAATGCACACTGAGACAGAATAATGCTATTAAAAACACCAAGGAGTGGAACACTGTGTTGCCTATGACACCATTTTTATTCAACATTTAAACAAATTTGTAACAGCAATTGCATGAGTAGTGAGAATGGGGTTTATGAGACTTTTCACTTCTATGTGCTTCTATTTTTGCTATGCTTCTATATATACATCCATTTATTATGGAGTATTACTTTCGAAAAACACAAATGGGCCAGTATTGTTTGGTGTTGCAAAGTGAGCATATGACTTCTGATATCAACCTTTGCATATTACTTCTCATTTTAGGGAAATTACAGACATCCCTTATTCACTAACTTAAAACTCAGCATTTCAAACATACAGAATTGATGGGGAAAAAAAAAAGAAAAAGAAAGAAAAAAGAAAGAAAAGACAACAAGCTTCAGATGACAGTGACTCACACCAAATTATTTACACTGTAAAGCCTGTTAAATAGTGACATCTTCTGGAGATACTTGGTATTACAGTCTGACTCCAGTTGATCTCTTTTTACAGAGACAAGAGGAATAAAGCAAAAAATACTCAAGAACTGAAAAGTATGGAGTTACGGAAAAATTGCTGTGATCCAAAGGCTATGGTGATAGGACAAGAAACAAGAGAACTCCAAGCAGTAAGACACTGCTGTTCTATTAGCATCCAAACCTTCATATTCTTGTTTGCCCCAAGGCTTTTTTAAAAAATAGAGACAGGATCTCACTATTTTGCCCAGGCTGGTCTTAAACTCCTGGACTCAAGCGATCCTCCTGCCTCAGCCTCCTAAAATGCTGAGATTACAGGCTTGAGTCATCATACCTAGCTATTTATTTTTTCTTAACTCTCTCGCCTGGCCTATAGCCACCATGGAAGCTAATAAAGAATATTAATTTAAGAGTAATGGTATAGTTCACTACATTGGAATACAGGTATAAGTGCCTACATTGTATATGGATGGCATACATGGATCAATTACACCACCTGGGTGGCCAAAGGAACTGCACAAACCTTCCTCCTTGGCTGTCTGGAACAAGCTTCCCACTAGATCCCTTCACTGAGTGCCTCCCTCATCTTTAATTATGGTTAAGTCTAGGATAACAGGATTGGCAAAGGTGAGGGGAAAGCTTCCTCCAGAGTTGCTCTACCCTCTCCTCTACCATCCTATCTCCTCGCTCCTCTCAGCCAAGGAGTTCAATCTGTCCTGAACTCAAGAGTGTCACTGTCAACTACATAAAATTGCCAGAGCAGCTCTTTGGGACTGCAAACACATACCCTTAATGTCTTTATTTCTATTTTGTCTACCTCTTCAGTCTAGGTGAAAAAATAAGGATAATAGGGAAGAACTTTATTTATGCCTGCTTGTCCGCCCCTAGGAATTTTGAAAACCTCTAGGTAGCAATAAGAACTGCACCATGGTATAGGAAAAGAGGAGGAAAAGCTGTATAGAAGTGCATAATAAATGGGCTGGAAAAGAACTGCTTTGAACAAACAGGGAGGTTGAACTATAAGGAGAGAAAGCAGAGAGGCTAATCAACAAGGCTGGGTTCCCAAGAGGGCATGATGAGAATATTACCAAGGTAGGAAGTCCTGGCTCCATGTCCCCTTAGTGGCTTAGTACTATGCAGCTTGCTTTCTGCAGTGAACTTCAGACCTTTCTTTTAGGATCCTAGAATGGAATTTTTTTATTGGAAAACAGTCATCCTCTCAACATTCAGGCAGGCCCCAAGTCTACCACACTCAATCACATTTTCTCTTCATATCATAATCTCTCAACCATCCTCTGTCCTTTAACTGTTTTCTATACCCTGATCAAATGCCAACAAAAGTGAGAATGTTAGAATCATATATTTTTAGAGGTAGACTGTATCTCAGATAAAAAAAAATGGCAGATATTCCATTTTCCAAAATATGTATGCAGAAAAAATAAGTATGGAAGGATATATGCTCAGGTAGTAAGTTTATTTACTTGTATTTTATGAATTCTTTTAAATAAACACATTACTTAAAAAAAAAGAACTAAAAGTCTCTGTCAGTTAAAAAATGACATTGATGAAGCAGGGCCTTTACAGATCATCTAGTCCTACACTATCCCATACGGTAGCCACATGTGGCAATATAAATTACTTAAAAATTCAGTTCCTGTGTTGCACAAGATGTGTCAAGTGCTCAAAAGCCACATGTCACTAGTGGCTCTGTACCATACAGCAGAAGCATAAAAGATTTCCACCCTCAAAAAAAGTTCTATTGAACAGCATTGCTCTAATTAAATAAAAAATACCATTTAGCACAACACAGTAATAGAAAAGATTGAAGAGGTAGTGCTGATACTTAAAAACCTAGTATTTTCAGCCAGGCATGGTGGCTCCTGCCTGTAATCCTAGCACTTTGGGAGGCTGAGGTGGGAGGATCACTTAAGCCCAGGAGTTCTAGACCAGCCTGGGCAACAGGGTGAAACCCTGTCTCTACAAAAAATACAAAAAATTAGCTGGGCGTGGTGGCATGCGCCTGTAGTCCCAGCTACTTGGGAGGCTGAGGTGGGAGATCACCTGAGCCTGGGAGGTCAGGACTGCGATGAGGTGAGATTGCACCACTACACTCCAGCCTGGGTGACAGAGTGAGACCCTGTCTCAAAAACAAACAAACAAACAAAAAACAAACAAACAAACATCACCTGGTATTTTTAAGTACACTATTTTCAAACATTCAGAAGTTATTTCATCCTATCTTCATGGTTTCCATTCTATGCCTGGTTTGGGATTAGGATCTGATAAAATAAACGTGTGCAACAGAACCACTTCTCATGTCTGTATAACAGATAATCAATATGTATCTGCTGAATAAATTATTCAATTTTCTTAATTTTTTTTCACAAAATTGTGGTTTCAAGGGACCAGACTTGAATACTACACTTCATGTTCTAAGAATCAGGGGACTTATATAAAACCTCAGTTGCCTGATAAGGACTATATCAAAGTGAAAAGCCATGGGAAAGAACTAGAAAGTACACTTTTGAACCTAGCTCTGTAGTTTCCTTATGCCACAGATAATACACATTCCCATTCCTGCCAAATTTTGTATCTCACCCCTGTCTATGGTCTCAATTCAATAAATAGAAGAAGGGCATGAATTTGCTTTGGTTGGTAGGTAGGTTGGTAGGCAGGCAGGAAGGCAGGCAGGCAGGCAGGCAGACAGACAGACAGACAGACAGACAGACAGACAGATAGATA